CACTTTTTTATGGTAAATACATGTGGGATTTTTTAATTAGGAGAAAACAAAGGAATTTTCATTCTCAAAAATGAAAACAGCATTCAATAGTTAATTATATGATACTTGACAAAGTTACTGAGCTGAACATTAATTTGTTCTTCATTGTTAAAAGAAAACTCTAGACAAATTAGATACAACAGAGTTTAATTGAGCAAAGAACGATTCTTGACTCAGGCAGCCCCAAAACCAGAGTGGGTTCAGAGCGACTGCGGGCTGCCATGTGGCCGGATACCATCCGTGGGCGGAAGGGAAGCTGCCGCTGCAGCTGGTTTGCCTTCCGCTGGGTGTCTGCCTTGCATGAGCCCAGTTTGAACTGTTGGCTGCCTGCGGTAGTCTGAGATTCAGCTGCCTGTCACGAGAGCAGGTTGTAAGCTGTGTACACATCAGGTCGGGTTACGGTTCTCTACGTATATGAAACCATTAGGCCAAACATAAAACATGTATGGAGGCAGCTTTAGGCCAAACTTAACACCATAAAAATCTTGAAGCCACTTGTTTGCACACCCAGCCTGGATCAGTCATAATTCTTGCTTCACACCGCACTCATCACTAGTCCGTATTTGGCCTCCGTTTAAGTATATAGTTAGCTAACAGTTGTTTTTATAGTATAATGCGTTTCCGCAGACCACCACCCAACCAAAACCCAGACCTTGGTGATTACCTCTGCCCACCACTCAGGGCCCTGGACACACATGTGCTGCCGTCCCCACCCCGTGGCCACTGCCCTGGGTGCCAGGTTCATCATCCTTTCCACACCCTCCCTAAATTGCTACCCTGCATCTCGTGCAGTCATTAAGACCATTACTTTTCTTTCAGATTTTAAATGTTTTAAAAGCTTTAATGCCAAATGTGATTTTGAGGACTCTTTTAAAGAAATACTTTTGGTTGAAATGTGGACATTTTCCACTTAGCGTTGTGTTGGTAGTGTTCCTCCATATTGATGTGGATAGCTAGAGGACCTTCCCTCCAACTGCCTGCGAATTGCACCCTGCGAATACACCAGCCCGTGCACCTGCTACTCTCTTTAACAGACACTTGAGCTTTGCCAGCTTTTCCCCGTGTTTGTTTTGCTTTGCTTTGGTGTATTGCATTTTATCTTTGCTATTATGAACAATGATATGTTGAACATTCTTTTCTATGTGTTCTTTTGAACACATGCAAGAATTTCCTTGGTATCAGAAAGTAGAGTTACCAAATCATTGTGTATGGGACAGTTCAATTTTAAGAGATAATGGTAAGGTGTTTCCCCAGTGGCTGTGTCATTTTACACTCCTGCAGTGGTGATGGAGATGGCTCGTGAGCCACGTCCTTCTCAGTACCTGGCATTGCCATTCGTGTACAGTTTTGCTAACTGAGGAGGTTCAGAATGATATCTCATTAGCCTTGATTTACGTTTCTCTGATAGCTCGTGATGTTGAACATTTCCTCGTGTTCAGTGGCCATGTGTGTTTCCTCATCTTTGAAATGTCTGTTCACCCAGTTTTCTATTAGATTTTTCATGCTCTTGTGGATTTGTATCTAGGTTTTTAATCCTGGTTATGATAGATATTGCCCCCACCTTTGTGCTTTCATTTTAAGACAGCTCCAGCTGTTACCAAGGTTATGTGTCATCGTGACTTCATAGATCTCCTTCAGCAAATCTTGGATTTTCCCTCTAACTTTAGCTTGCCATCAGAAAGTGTCTTCCTCATGAGTCTTTTTGTGACAAGTCTTCCGAGGCCATATGTGCCTCTGAGGGTATTTTTATCATGCTCACACATTTGAATGACAGTTTGGCTGGATACAAAATTCTAGGTTTTAACTTCTTTTCTTCAATAAATGAAAAACACCAGCGGGGTGTGGTAGCTCACACCTGCAATCACAGCACTGTGGGAGGCTGAGGCGGGAGGATCACCTGAGATCAGGAGTTCAAGACCAGCCTAACCAACATGGCAAAACCCCGTCTTTACTAAAAATACAAAATTAGCCATGCATGATGGCAAGCACCTGTAATCCCAGCTACTCAGAGGCTGAGGGAGGAGAATCATTTGAGCCCAGGAGATGGAGGTTGCTGTGGGGTGAGATCGCACCCTGCACTCCAACCTGAGTGACAGAGTGAGACTCCGTCTCACAAATAAATAAATAAATACACCACTGCATTGTCTTCTTGCATCCTGTGTTAGTCTGATTCTTGTTTCTTTGAATGTGATCCGCTCTTTATTTCTAGAAGCTTTGTATGTATTTTCATCGTCTTTAGTATTCTTAAACTACATGGTAAGTTACCTAATTTATGATGTTTTTATCTGTATAATGTAGCATAATACCTCACAGAATGTTGTAAGGATTCAAGAAATAAAAGGCATAAAAGACATAGAACATTGACTGCCGAATCGTAAGCACTAAATATCAGCTGTGTTATGATTGTATTCAGTTTTGTGGATTTTTTGAGCCGTTTTTATTACTTCGACCTTTGCCTGCTCTTTGACCTTTCCTTGCTCAGTAACACTGTAATGTAGGTGAATGAAAGAAATTGTATAAAATGTGAAACCAGTTGATAGCAATTCTGGTATAAAGAGAATTTGCATTATTGTCTAAAGTGAAGTTTGTGTTTTACCAGTGACTGATTTATCCATGCCACTCTTACTCATGTAACCATACTATCATAAGTTGCATGACGTTCCCATTTTAATTTTTTATTTAAGGGAACATTATATTTTCAGTGGCTTTATAATCTTATTTCCAAGTCAATAATTAAGATATTTTTATAATTTTAGAGGCTCTGTCTACTAATTCCCAGATCTGGCCAACTATGAAACTGTTTTTATTAACTGTTTTTTCTCTTGATTTTAGACAGTATGCTCTCTGTTATGGATGAGACATTGTAGACACTAGATTCTGTTACTTTCTTTCAGCCGTTACACTGATCTTGTAGAGGCTTGATTATAGGACTAGGCTCTTTCAGCTTTGATCTTATTCAAGGGTGTGGTTCGTAATCCCGCTGGGGTGTCCATGGAATGCCTCAGATGTGATCAGGCCCTGTACTTTGCAGGACTGGATCTTCTCTGTCTTCACTGTGGCCAGCAGATGTCAAAATCTCTACTCTGCATTTTCAGCCTTCCTGCTGTCTGCAGGGGGATCCTGGGAATATTATCCTGTGTGCGTGCCCTTCAGGAGCCAGCCTCTGACTTGGGGAAGGTTTACATGTGGGTTTTGGCTCTCGTCTTCCTAGAGCTTTTGCCTGCAGTGTCCTGGCAGCCCTGAGCCTGGCCTCAGCTCAGCAGGGTTGCTGTCTTTTAGTTGCATGCTATCCCCCACGTGCCGCGTGAGTGAGCAGCGCCCCTGGGAAAAGCCAGATGAAGGCGATTCATGCAGCTATTCTTGTTTTCTAAGGGTCACAGCCCTTCCAGTTCCTGCCTGCATTTGTTTGTTGATCAGAATCTTCAAATGGCTTTTTAATATTTTGTCCAGAGCTTATCATTATTGGCAAAAGGATTAGTCTGAGATAAGTGATTCTGTCATTACTGGACTCCAGAAATCCCAATCAATAAGTACATCATGTATAAAAAGACAAAGTAGCATGGTTTGCATAGGACTCAGATTCAAAAATGCATTTCCTTTAGATGACTTTTATCCACGGAGAAATTCCAGTTTACCTGGGAGCACTGCGGGAGATGCACGTGTCTGCGCTGGTGCAGAGGTGTCTGGGCACGGCCCAGGAGAGCATCTGCAAGTGACGCCAGCAGAGCAGACCCCTCTGAGTGGCACCGACTGGCTCAGGGAAGCATCAGGACCACACAGGGCACTTGATGCTGTAGGAAAGGGCTGCTGTCTAGCTTCAGGCAGACATGGGCCCCACTTTATTTTCTTGGCTCTTTGAATGATAAAACACTGATTACTGCAGCCACAACCAAGAATATAACCTCCTCTCTGCTGGTCGAGCTAGGTATTGCTTCTTGAGACAGCGAACGTGGCTGGCAGCCGCGCACGGGGTCCAGGACGGCCAGCTCAGCCTCCCCTCGCCCTGCAGGGCTGCATCCGTGACTGTCTTCACACCCTTGGCTCGTTACCTTCCTGCTTCTGGATCTCTTGGGTCCTCTGTGTCTTTCCCATTTCCGACCCACTGCTACGGGTGCCCTCCCGGGCCCCCATCCCCCGTAGAGGAATCACTTCCTCTTCTCCCCCGGAATATGCCTGACTCTTGTACTGTGCCCTCCCCTGGGCCAGTGGCCGTCTCCGGCCTTCCTTCATCTCTTACTTTCAACCAACAGTCCCTGAGTGCGTTTTGGAGACGTGCGTACTTGCTTTGCACCTGCCATTATGTTTTTACGGAATTAAACATTTTGCATTTCTCCTCCTTACTGTTTTCCTCTGCTGCCTTGATTCTGCCCCAGTGTGGGGCAGCCGCCCTGATGGAGGAGACATCGCTGCCTCCCTCCTGTTGGTGCCACGTTAGAGAAAGCCCGTCCGGCTCCTCACGCACTCCTAAGGGTGGGTTCGCCTCAGACTTGAAGCCAGCTCTGACCTGTAGGAGTCCATGATGGTGGAAATGATAGAATTGAATTTGCATCTCTTCTGGGTGCCTTGAGGCTACTCATTTATTCCTCCAGCCGTCTCCCCAGCTCTCTTCCTTCAGAAGGAAAGAGCTGTCCAGTCCACCCCAGCAGCCCGTTTGGAGACTGCACTTTATTAAGCTTCTTGGCGCTCGTCTCCAGAGACTGGGCTTCATGTGGCTGCAAACGGCTTCTCTCCTTTCTCCTGACAACTCACTGTGGCAGCTCTGTAGTCTCGCGCCTTGACAGGATGGCAATGAGATTTTCTTTACAAATCTAAAAGCTGCCAGAATTAAGGAAATCTGAGTGTATTGGTTCACCATGGCAGCCCCTGTCCCACTTTTAACTCTTTCCTTTTTCTGCAAGCCTGTTGAATTTCCTGGGTGACTATTCCATTTGTGCTGTTCACATTCTTTTCTTTCTCTGCAGGTTTTGCATGCAGAAATGTGTCAGTCTGGTGCCTGGCGTCACACTGGATTTGATAGAAAAGTAAGTAAGATGTTTAAGCTCTGTGGCTCTCTGGACCTGATGAGATTCTTCTCCTTTTTGAAAGCTCTTGCTTCTCAGAAGCACTTTCTATCGGTGTGGGCCATGTTCCCTTTCATGTGGGCATGTTGTTTTGTTCTCTGATTAAGGCTGTGTTTGTGATTGTCACACTGGGGCTTAGTGCGGGAGATAACCAAACATGGGCCATATGAAAAGAAAAATCATAAAAAACTGAATTCCTTTGAAGATGTAAAAAGTCTTCAGACTTTAAGCCAAAGCAAGAACACACCGCTCCGCATACAGATCATTTCTGCTGCCACTGGAGTGATAGCTCGATCGTAGCTAGCGCGTACCTGACGTTCTGAAACTGTCCCTTGAATAGTCTGTAACTTTCCATCCCTTACCCACCTGCCTCCACCCAGTGTCCATTTTACCGTCTGAGGGCAAACTGAGTTCAGAACCCCAGTGATGACATGACGGGGGTTACTCAGGCTCCCGCGAAGAGTCAGTGGCACTTGCCTCCCGGAACCTTTCCGGTCTGTCTCTTGCTGTGATCTCTTTGGATCTGAAGCGGTGGCTCAGGACCCGGGGCGCGGCCTGCACTGCCTTGTTCTGTTTGTTTGTGCGTCGGATACATCGTGACTCATCCTGAGTCATCCAGGCAGCGTGGAGAACTTTGGAGTTATTTTAAACCATTTGGCTCGCAACCCTATTTCTTCTAGAATTAACATGCAAGATAATGGTTTTCTGCATCCTAATATTCAAAGTTAGATCTTAATATTAGGGCCTGAATTTACTAAATTAGGAAAAGCAAGCCCACTTCCATGTTTCTCTCCTAAAAACGTACTTGCCTGGCATATCAAGGGAAATATATAAGAATATCACACGTAAATATTCACTAGGGCACAGTGCGCTCCACTGTGGTTCACTCCCACCATGGAATGTGGCTGTGTGGTGGATAGGAAGGCCACGGGAGCTACACTAGGCCTGATGTGGAGTGGTCTACCAGAGGTACTAAGTGAGCAGTACCCAGCATGGGTACTTTCCAAAGTCTTTCCAAACAGTGCACGCTGTGACTTAGAAGACTGTTTCCAAAGGCTAAACAGATAGTGGAATCTCTGAGAAGCATCGCATGGAAAAGAGCTTTTAAAAATTAAAAAAAATTGGACTGAGTGATCTGTGCCGTGCTCCCCTTCTGTTTGCTCTGGTTCCCTGATGAGATTTCAGTTTTGCGAAGCTGCTCCATGAGGTCTGTGTACCTGTCATTGCTGTGCGCTTTCTGTGGGGGTTTCAGTTCCCGCTGTGTGTTCTGAGTTTTGAACTCTATTACCTGGACCATATATATTGCCCCTAGCCACCCCTGCCCTCGCCACACACACATACACACACACCACACACACACACAGTGGATGACTATCCAAAATCTAAAAATACAAAATCGGAAATGCCCCAAACTTTTAAAAACTTTTTACCTGAATTAAAAAAAAAATAGAGCCGGGTGCGGTGGCTCAAGCCTGTAATGCCAGCACTTTGGGAGGCCGAGGCGGGTGGATCACGAGGTCAAGAGATTGAGACCATCCTGGTCAACATGGTGAAACCCCATCTCTACTAAAAATACAAAAAATTA